ATGCAATATAATATAATATGTAATATATTGCGTTAAGATATATAGATCTATTATTTATTTAATACTTCTATTTTTTGCATAAAATAATATGAATATATTCTCTTTAAATTCTTCGTTAAGATAACTGGATAGAAATGGAAATTGCGATATAAATCGATTGAAAATTAAATTACATGACTTAATAAATAAAACTAAACCGTTATTTTTATTTAACTTTTGATGATTACTGTATGATTATAGTATTATATTATATTATAATATTATATTATATTGTATATTATAGTAATACTATTAGTATATATATATATCAGAACTATAGTATGTAGTATTATTATATATTATATAATACTATTATAATAATATTATATAATATATAATATATTATATAATATAATTATAATATCTGAAATCGATTCACACTTTCCTCATAAATATATATTATATTATATTATATTAATTTATTTCAATGAATATATTTTCTATAAATAATTCTTTAATAATGTAAAATTCGAGTATGATAAAATACTAATAGTTATCAAATGAAAAATTAAACTATAGTTAGAATTATTAAGATAACAATAATCAAAAAGTATGAGAAAATTAGTAAAATTAGTAAATTAGAAAAAGTATGAAAAAAGAGAATAGAAATTTTTTCAAAAAAAAAAAAAAAGAAAAAATTAAGCAGAAAAAATGAATTAATTCGCTTTAATTTTTAAAATTGTTATAGTATAATATTATTAATATAATGATTTGTTAAATACAAAAATCTAAATCAAAATTATTCTCTTTCTTAGTGAAAAAATTAAATATTATTTGTAAATAAAGCAGACTTAATTATTTTATAAATATAATATAAAAATTGATAACTCATTAAAGATAATATGTAGAATAATTCTAATTGCCAAATTAGGTAGACTAAGATAGGTTAAATTACCATACAATTCGATAAATAAAAGTAGTTCAGAATCTTGAGATTCGCATGATCATAATGCACTGGCGAATTTTCTCAATTAAGCGACTGAGCTAAATCTCATAACAATGATGTTGCTAGCTATTGCGTTTCGCCGGTCTGGTAAAAGTACGGTTTGCGTAATGGATTGAAATGTAGATGAGGACGGAATATGGGAAAATGATGGAATAGGAAGAATTGGCTCGAATTCAAGGACGAAGCGTTTGTAAAGGAAAAATGAAAGTTTAATAGTTTTCTTATTGATTTAGTGATCGAAAGAATATGCGATTAGAGCGATTAAAAAAGGATACATGTGATTTAAATCTTTTAACGGAAAAAAAAATTCGCTCTTTTATATATATAAAATATCGAAATAAAAAGTGTGATAAATATAAAAAGAAATTTAAGAGATGGAAAACAACTGTAACTTATTTTGAAATGCCATGATAAATTATATTGCAAACTTTTTACTAAACTATCATTTTTGATAATATAAAATTCTTAATAATATAAAATAAGTTTTAATATATTTTAATACATAAACAAGTAAAACTTTGGCAATTAAAATATAAAGATTTTAGTATGTTTCAGTCCATTTTTAATTATAATAAAATTTATAAAATTTATAAAATTTATAAAGTTTCAACAGATTCTACATTTTTTATAGCAATTTATGTAATATTACTGCATTCGTTTTTAAAAATATTCATGAAATATATGCATTTGAAGATCATATGTATATAATATTCATGCATTTAAAATGCTATAATTTCTTTCTATCAAAAAATTTCAATATAATATTTTATAACATAATATTCTACACTATATTTATAACATTTATTATGATTTCGAAAAACTGATTTCTTTATTATATTTGAATTGATTCTCAAACAAAATAGATTATAATAATGATATTATTTTATTAATTATATTATATAAAATATATTAAAAATTTTTATTTGCTTCAAAAAAATGTATACTATAATTAAAATGTATACTAAAAATGTATACTATAATTATGATGAAGTGATTTATGTACTTATATATGTCTATTATAATACCACTTATATAATCAAAATATATCTATAAATTTCATCTGTAAATTATACAAAATCTATCTAAACATTCTAAGATTAAAATGTCATATATGAACGAAACTTAAAAATATCTTTAAAATTTTCATCAACTTTTATCATCGATTTAAAAATTAATAAATATTCATCATTCAAGTGCATCATTCAATTTATGACAAATATAACACTTGAATAGTACAAACAATATAATACATGAAACAAATATAAATCTTAATAAAGATAAACAAGTAAATAAATATAAACAAACAAATATAAATATAAACATTCACATTTCGAGCAATTTCATTCGTTTCACAAATCAATCGCATAATTTCAAATATGTTAATTTTATCTTCTCCCATTAAATTTCATCTCCTCGAGAAATCTGGTATAAAGAAAAAAAAAAGGAAAGATAAGAGTTCGTTACGAAAACGACGAAACTCGCAACACTCGGTCGTTTCTCTTCCGAACTTGGTCTCCTGATTCCCAGGCTGACGTGTTTTCCACGAAATTGCATCAAATTCTCGCATCACGAGATATTCTAAAGATTCCTCATCATCGTTGCACTTTTTCTTCCCGCGCCTACAAACATTCTAACCGGCATGCAACCGTGAAAACCCCACGTTGCGATGACAGCCTTGTTCAACGACAAAGAAAAAGAAGAAAAATCCCTGTCGAGCATCTCGCGGGTAAACATTCCATAAGCATTGGATATTATCTTTCTAATGAATCATCGCGTTTCCTCCGGCAACGAGGTCGGCGAATTTCACTATTCTCGATTTTGGAACGCATACTAAAAAGTATAAGAGAAAGAGGGCACATTACAAGTCTTTCTTCTTATAAAAAAAATTACAAATGTTAATTTTAATAAAAATTTGTATATAATAGAGCATTTGTAAATATTTTTAAAAATTTATTTTTGATAGAAAATCTTTTCGAGTATGTGAAGTCAATCTTTAAATGTTTATCATTTTTTCATATTTTGAATAATGAAAAATTTATCTAAATATTTTTTAGACGGATAATAGAGAGTAATAAAGTAAAACTAAAACTTGAATATTTCATAATTTAAAATTTTCCTTTACTTTATATCATTACAAATTATATATTTTAGAAAAATTAAATAATATCGAAACTGTAAGAATTGATTTTGCTCCATTAAAATAATATTTCATTAAAAAAGAAATGTTTTATGTATAACTCATTATGATCTATGTATTTATATTATTTCACATAACAAAAATATTGTTGCTTTCGACAATGTAAATTGTTAATTGAATTTTTGTAAAATGTATAAATATGTATAAAAAAAAACTTCTATGACTAACTGCATATATATAAAAGTATTTATATAGTATATATATAAGTTTTATTCATATCTATTTTAAATTTTAAATTTTCTTCGAAATAATAAAAGAATTCTTTTATTACAATTTTTAATGATAACGAAATACGTTTTTTTGCGATATTTTTAAAAAAAATTTTACGTTGAATTACAAGAATTATTTTATTGAATAAAATATATTATCTATTAATTATTCAATAACTAATTAAAAATAATTAAAATAATAAATTGTTTAACTAATTAAAGCAATATTACAACAACATTACTTAAAATATTACATTACGATAAATATATTTATTTAGTAAGTGAAGAAAAGATTACTAAATGACAAATAGTTGACAGACATGATAAGAAACTTGTTTCTTATCATGAATCAAACTATATAATTCCTTCATATGATGTAACAAATAATATTACAAATTTTCAATTTTTAATTGATTGATGATATGTTCAAATTTATTAGACTTATAAAATTTAACAATAATTCTTTTATGAAAAATTTTTAAGATGAAATATTACAAAAAGATATAAATAGTTATTTAACAAAATAATAAAAATTAACACGAAAGAATAACAAAAAATGAAATACGAAATAATATAATATAATAGATAATAGATATAATAGATATGTTTGATTAAATAGATTTAAAATACTTGTGTGTACTTATGAAGTATGTACTTATGTACTTATGTACTTCATAGAAATGTGAAACATATTATTACTTATAATTATAATTATAATTTTAATATTTTATTTCAATAATATAAAAAAAATTTAGTAATAATGAAAAAGAAATAAATATGAAGAAAAAACATTCGAAAATAAAAAGATAATTCAACCGAAAGAGAAAAAAAATTAGTATATGCAGAAATATAAAAAATAAATATAAATATAGAAAATAATCATATACACAAAAGATAGAAAATAAATGTACATACTTTAATTATGTAGATAGTTAGATACTATAAACTCCATTTACACATACTTTAGATATAGAAAAAAAGACAACGCATAAAAACATAGAAGTTAGAAACAAAGAGTAAATATACATATTCTGACAGATATAAATCTAAATACTAAAGGTACACTCTTTGCAGATACTTGAGAAAACAAAAAGGCAATGCATAGATAGACAAAAAAAAGATACTTATCCACACTTGGAGAGACAGAAAAACAATAAAAGAAGAGAGAGTATACATACAAAAAAAGAAAGACAAAACAAATTCACACAACAGATAAACTCAGAAATGAAATATACGTACTAAAAGACACAAAAAATGTATACGGTAAACAGAAAGAATCGCACGACCCTGTAACCCAAACGCAATGGCGGCCTCTTCAAAAGATTCACGATCGCCCGTTCAGATTTATCGGCACGAGGATCGTTACATTGGTTACATCGGTAACAAGAGAGAGAGACCCTGAAGAGGGGGTTCGAAGTGCATATACTGACAGTCGGTTGGTAGGGAGATTTTTGTTCCAATAGTGGTGGGACGAAAGTTAGGTGTTACTGAGTACCAGAAGACGAATTGGTGACTGGACGGAGAGAGGCGGAAGGGCGGGGATCCGCGAAGAAAGGCAAGAGCTATAAAAGAGGCACCGGTTCCGACGATGGGCATCAAACACCTCAACATGAAGGTACGTGGTAACATAGGCATACGTGAGCCTCTCGATCTTTACGGTGTTTCTTTTATCATCCGTTTTTCTCTCCATCTCTATTTCGAAGAATTCACGCGATATTTTCATTACAGGTGTTCGCGATTACGATTCTTTTGGCGCTCGTAGCCACTGCCTATGGTGAGTAGTAACCTAACCAGTGAACGAAATATGTTATTTCTATAAATAGAACTCCTGGATGAGTTGAACTCTTGATGAATCACGTCCAGTAGAAATTTTATCTCAACGTTTCGTAAATATTACTATCTTTATCAGGAAGGGGATTGTACTGATATTATGTGTCATCTGATTCCTGACGAAGCTAGCTGAAAGGAACGATTGGGATAGATCTGGTGGTTTGAAATAAAAGTAATTGTATAAATTGCTAGATCGTGAAAAGGTTTACATTTTTAAAGTGAATGTGCAAATTTATCAAAAATGCAAAGAATATATCGTGATTAGTATATTATGATTCCGATTAATCAAGGAATGATCAATGTTTGTACGTATGAAAAACGCGATTGGAACGAGCTTTCTTACCCTCGGGAGAAGACGTTAATCGAGTGACGGGTAAAAACGTGCGCACGCTCTCTCAATTTTCACGATCGCTTGCCTTCGATCGTTAATCGAGTTACTACGAAGTCAAATAGTCCGTATACTTGTAATAACCGCGGGGAAGATTTGAAAATAAAAGAAATATAGTTAACAAATAAGTATAGACAATAAATAGTTCGAAATTGATATCTTTTACATGCATGAAATAGAAATAACAGTTCGATTTATTTTAGCATGAGTATTTCGTTCAATGGTATTAAATTTTAAATAATTTTGAAACATAGTGATGTATTATATAAATTTTGATAGCAAAGAATTAAGATAGATACTTTTTAATAATTTATTCGTACAATATTTCACAAACTTTCGTGTAAAAATTGTAACGTTTTTCTTGTATGATAACAAAACAATAATACAAATATATAATTTTTAATAAAATAAATTGACATGTTTATTATTTATATTTTTCATTTGGAATTTGTATTTATTTATATAAAATTTTATATAAATTTAAAAATTTCATAATTATTTCTTCTCCATATCAAATTCGATATGCAGATTTCTTATTCTTATTAATCAAGGATTAAATATTGTCAGAAAAGAATAATCTTTATTGTAAAAATATTTTTCTCCTTTCTATATTTCTAAAAATATTCAATAACGATTTCACATATTTTATCAACCTATTTAACATATTAATCAAAGTTCAATAATTTATAATAAATATCAATACTTTATCAATTTTCATTATTTAGTCAAAAACATTGGATTATTTTGTTTCACTTTACAGCCGGTTACATAAGCAGCGGTTGGTCTGGTGGAGGTGGTGGCTGGAATGGAGGTGGCGGTGGCTGGTCTGGTGGCGGTGGTGGTGGTGGCTGGAAATACGGAGGTGGTGGAGGTGGAGGCGGAGGTGGCGGAAAAATCATCAAAGTGATCACTGTTAGCGGTGGAGGCGGTGGATGGCCTAGTGGGGGTGGTGGTGGATGGGCTGGAGGTGGTGGCGGATGGCCGAGTGGTGGCGGTGGTGGATGGAAAGGAGGATGGAGCGGTGGTGGTGGTGGATGGAGCGGCGGTGGAGGAGGCGGTAAGTAATTAATATGACTTTTGAAATATTTTTCTAAAATATTAATTCCTTTTTCTTTTTCTTCTTTCTTTTCTTTATTTATCTTATCTTTTTTTTCTTTTTTTTTAAATGTCAATAAATTTGAAATATTAATGAAAAATATTTGGAGTTAAATAATATATGATAATGAATTTTTAACAATCCTTTTTCTTTGTATTTTTTGTTTTTTTTCTGCGTTTTGATGTCAATTTTGAAGTAGGAACTTTGATTGAAATTGTTTGAAATTATCACAAATTTTTCTATGATCTCTTTTTTTTTTTGCTTCAATTTTCTTTTTGAAGTAAGAATATTAATCGAAGTTAGTTAGAAGGAATTTTCTGTTTTTTTCTTTTTTTCTTTTTTTTTTCATTCTTCTTCTTTTTTTTTCTTAATTTCGATTGATTGAAAATGTTCAAAAAAATTTCTATGATCTTTTTCTTTTTTATTTTTCTTTTTCCTTTTTACTTTGATAATTTTTTTTTTTTACTAATTTTAAAGTAAGAATGGTTAATCGAAGAAGTTGAATGTTATAATGAACTTTCTATAACAGCATTTTTTTTTCTCTTCATTTTTCTTTGTTTTTATTCTACTAATTTGACAACCATTTTATATCAGTTTGGCAATAATAATATTGAAGATTTGTAAAATTTTAAAAAATGTATATAACGAAATGAAAAGCAATGAATCACGAATGATTTTTTGGGTCATGAAAATTACGGTTTGATTTAGAAAGACGGATCTTTGTTTGATAGATTTGTTGAAAGCGTAATGCGTTAATTAGCTGGTTAAGCTGGAATTCGAAGGCAAAGGGATTTATTTACATGTTTGTTTATGAGAAATGTTGCTGCTGATTCTTGATTTAATTTATTGAAATAAGAGAAGATAAATGGAATGATTTTTGAATTGAATCGATATAAAAAATTATTCGTAGAAGTAAAAATTGTGATTAATTATATAATTTTATTGGAATCTAGTAAAAAATATTACGCAATCGATTATATTTGATATAAAAAAAAGCGAATATGAAATGTTAAAAATAATCAATTAAATATTAAAATAATTATTAGATTCAATTAAAAGATGATTCAATGAAATATGAAAGAAATATTAAAAACTTTAATATTTATTCAAACTTGTTGAATTATTAGACAAAAAGTTGTTTTATTTTGCTTTTTTCTATTCTTCTTACTTTAATTTATTTTGAATAAATTTTCTCTTATTTTTTATAAAAGTAAAAATATTTTTTTTCTCCACAGTAAAAAATCTAAAAATAACTGATAAAATATACGTAATTTTGGCTTGTATTTTTCGCTTATCATTAACTAGATTAATAATATCAAATAAATTTTATTAAACAAATAAAAAATATCTACAGCGTTTATTAAATTTTATAAAAATTAGTATTTCTAAAAACACGTGAAAATAAATGAAACAAATTGAAAATTCATCATCAAATAATTCCATGCATTTTACAATATTTTTATAATTCTTACGGTTTTTTAAAAATATTTGTCTTAAGAATCTAATAGAATTAATTATTAAAATTTATTTTTTCTTAAAAGTAATTTGAAAGTTATTGAAAGTACTATATAATCAAATTTTATATAAAATAATTTAATAATTTCACGAAACTATTATAAAGTATAATGAATTCGTGATTCATCTTCGCTTCCTCCTCTCTAAGATTGCTATTCGCTTCGAAGATTTATCAACCAAATTATATAAAATTAATTATTCATTCATAAGACATCGTATATTAATATATATAACCGAATAATACGAATATAATTATTTTTTAACCGGAATCGGATGGAAAGATGAGACATCGGATAAATTACTTGGTTTAGTTATTCGAAATGCAATATCTATATATTTACCCGAAAATGAATGGATCTCGACTAAATTTATACCAGTTTAAATGCCAATTAAGCTGTTTACGTAGAAGATTCGATGCACAAGCCGATAAAAAGTCTGCCAGCTATTTTCCCCTCGAGGAAGTGGAAAAATAAAAATTCGGCCGATTTCATTTAAAAACACATTTGTCCATTTCCCCGCGTAAAAACTAAATGTTCGATTTTCCTTCTCAATCTGGGCCTTAATTCTAATTAATTAAGAGACTTTAGATTTTTGATGAAATAACAATACAACGAGAAACAAATTTTCGAAATCGAGTATAATTGGAACGAAGCGACATAACGAACAATCCCACCTGGCTTGTTGGGGTTCCATGCTTTTGATTAAAGAGTGCTTCGCATTACAAAATAATGGGGAAAAAAACAACGAGGATCGTAAAAGACAAAGAGGCTCGTAAACAAAAGCGCGTCACCGGGGCCATCGTCCGATGAAGAAGAGTGTCGTCCCTTCGCGATTAACGCACGAAAAATTCTTTTCAGGCTGGTGGTAAAGGACAAACCGGGGACCAGGCGAATAATTAGAAGGAAATTTTGCTCACCGATCACCACCAGTGCACATCTTGGCTGTAATCACCGATTCTCGGTTCACGAAGAGATAGTCCTGACCCCTCTCCTTACCGATTCTTTTTCTTCTTCTTCTTCTTTTTTTATTCTTGTATGCGAGGAAGAGCATCGCGAACGAATAATGCATCCATGGAGGAAGAAAGCGGAAATAACATGATCGCGACTGAGGAACCGTGTTTCCATTTCGCGAATTCCGAGATATAAGCGCGCAGAAAATAAAAGAGAGAACAACAGTAGATCCATGGACAGCAAAGAATAAGATCACGCTTCCAAAGTTTCTTTTCTTCCTGGTGATGTGTTGAAAGTGAGCTTTGGTTGTACGTACGTTGGTAGAGATTGCCAATCCACTTGGAGGCGAGCTTTGGATTTGTTGTCGAATTACATTATTAAGATATGAAAATTGTCTACACAAATGTGTCCGTATAAATGTGTTTTCTTTCGATTAAAAATTAAATCTGATATATTTGATCTGTTGAATTCGTGGAATGTCTTATGTGAGGGTATGGGTATGGGCTATTCTTCGATCAAAATATTTAGCAAATAATATTGTAGATATTGTACATTTAATCCCATATCGTTATAGTATATACATGTATGTAAGATCCAGTTTTCAAGTAAAATGAAATAAAAATACGAAAATTGATATGGGAGAAAAAATAATTTACACTGTATAGGATTCTTTTTGTACCTTTATAATTAATTTACACATTTTGAATCAGCAAGAATTAAAAAAATTTATTGACACACAAAATAGTTTATTTTCTATTTTCATCCCTTTTGTCCAAATTTAAATATTTTAATTAATAAATAAAATATGAATTATTTATTTCTTTTCCTTATCTGAAACAGTATATCGTTTATTTGTAATTAAAATTTCAATTTATGTTTTTTTATTTTGCGTATCTTTTGTTCAAAATTTTTTAAAACTTAAAAATATTATAAAACTTTAAAAATAATAATGAAGAAAATGAAAAGTTATTAGAAAAAAAGAATAGAATATTGAGATGTAACGATCAAAATTGAATAAAAATTGTTATAATTGATCAACAAACAATTTTCTTAGAAAAAAGAATCGGACTATTAGGAAAAGAAAAAAAGTAATTATAAAATTTGATATTTTTAATAATCTAATTTCATTGTTTCAATTTAATAAAGCATAGGAAAGCATTGAATTTCTATTTTAATTTCTTTTTCTTGTATTTATTATAATTTTAAAAAATTATAAAAAATAAGCAATAAACATTTGTGTATATTTAAAGAGTTGTAAAATAAAGAATGAAATTATAATCGAAAAAAAACATCTTCTTTTAAGATTTTTTAAAAATCTTTTTCTTATAAAGATTTTTTATCAAATAAATTATAAAGAAAAAACAAATAATTTTTAAGATTCACAGAAATTCACTTATAAATCAGATTGATATTTTTCATTTCTTGCGTTTTTTTCATATTCCATATCATCATTTTTTTGTATATTAGGATTTAATAATAAATGATACGAATATGTTGCCATTGTACGCAATAATGCAAAGCGAATACGAGTCTGAAAAATGTGAATTAAATGCATGTTAATTCGCCCGAATTCTGCGAATCTACTTTCGATTTATAAATCTATGCTCATCTTGTACAAGGGTGAAAATTAAAATCGCTGTGAAACAGTCGTAAACGGCCAAGCCGCGATTATTGCTGAACCAATGGATTTACTATCGTTCCAGCTTGCGGCAATAACATTTTCTTGGTTACGATATTGCAATGGCATAAATATCATGGACATGGTATGGTTAAAATGATCGACTCGAGGAAAATATCAGCACGGTATGGATATGCGGCCATGAATTTGAAGAGTGTGAATGCAATTGAAAGTAAAATTCTTATGAAATTTTTTGCAGTTGAATATTGCATTGAAAATGATTACTTGAGAATAATTTTCGATCAGTGTCCGCTAGTGAAAAATAATTCTGAGAGCGATTTTTGCTTAAACATATTTAAAAGACGAAGTTTTCCTTTTAAACGTATTTGCATTTGAAACATTCATGAAGCATTCGTGAGATTATTTCTTACTATAGACATTAAAATGAAACGAAATGTACAGGTTTATTCATAACTTTTAATAAAATATACTTCCTATAATAAATATCAATAAATTTGATCAAGAAATTTTATGAAGTACAACCTATTTTAAAAATATTATTTTAATTGATTTTATAAATTTTTGTTTAATAATTTATATATAATCATATTTTACAATTAAATATTTATATATATTTTCCAATGAAATATATTTTTATAATGTTACTCTATAAAATGAAATTTTAAAATTTCATTTTATAGAATATTTATCAAATTTTATATAATCATATCTATGATACATATAATATAATATAATTGAATCTAATAATAAATATAATGATATAAAATTATTATATCATTATTGTCATTATATATTGTAAAAATTTTATATATTAATTTTAAAATATTAAATAAAAATAAAAGATAAAAAGTTAAAAAATAATAAT